ACTGATATGTATTTCCTCCTCTGTTTACAGACTTTAAATAAGCTTATGACCTACTGAAATCATTGCAGAAGTGTGCTTCTTTAAGCTTGCTCATTTTACTTTCCACACATGCACCCCTGATTGGTGGAGGGCCCTGGTGGCCCCGCTGCTTGCTGCTGATTGGCTTGGAGGCAAATACTGCAGTTTTAAATATGCTGTGGGTTTTGCCTCCTAGCTGCAAGTGGTGGGGCTGCCCGGACCCGTTAGCCAATCAGTGGTAGATGACAAAAATGGGTAGGCACACAGAGAAACAAGAAAGATTAAAGGAACCACTACACAGCTCACTTCCGCTGCAATTCTGATAGGTCCCTACTTATGATAGTATGCATAAATGGAGGCTTTGGAACATAATGGTAGAATCTGGATTCCCTAAGAAGCTCATAAAAATGATTAGGGTATGTATTAAAGACACAAAAGGGAGAGTTAAAGTGGATGGAAGCTTCTCTGATGCCTTCAGCATGGCAATGGGCCTGACATGAGGTGATGAACTTTCCCACTATTGGTCAATCTGGTGTTGGAACTAGTTGTCAGATTGGTGGCTGAAATTATAGAAGGGGTTCTACTCGGGAGATTGCATAATAATCTTTGGGTATACAAATGACTTGACATCATATGCAACAACACAGTAGAACTTATTAGAATGTATAAAAATTTAAAGTATACAGCCAAGAGAGTAAGGCTTATAGTGAACAGTGAGAAGGCCAAATATATGGCAATCACTTGCAAGAACATAACTGAAACAGCAAAACAAAGTTTTGTATAGAAAACCATAGCTTCCAGAGTGTCCAAGAATTCAAGTATTTTGGATCATTGTTGAGTGACATCAATAAGATGAGCAGGGAAAATATTTTAAGGATCTCAAATGAGAATAAAATAGGTATAATAGACTTCTCTGGTCCAAGATACTGTCTAGAAAGACACTGAAGTTACAGTACATAGGCTATTTGCAGATGTTAAACCCCCCCTGCAAAAACCTGTGCTTTACTGGAAGAAGCAGAACATTACTTTGAGCTGGCACTGCAGTGTCTGTATATATTGGGTGCTTCAGCAGGGCTCTTTGGGACTTTTATCTAAAGCTGAGTCAATCAGCTATTAGATAAAATCACTAAAAAAGTCCCACTAAAGCACCTGATCATACAGACGTTAGGCAAGCTGGGTCCAACGCACTGCTTCTTTTGGGCATGTGCTGGCTCAGTGTGGGAGTGCATGGAGTTTAAAGCAAAGGGCTTTTTTTTTCTATTGTCTGCAAACAGCCATAATTTTTAGACCTGTAGTGATACATGGCAGTTAGACTTGGTGCACGATGCTGAAAGACCATCATAAAGTGATTTGTTTTGATAACAAAATTTTTAGGAAGATAGTTAGTTGGACCAGTGACAGACCTAGAAAGGGGGAAATGGAGGCAACAAAGTAATGAAGAATTATGAAATACCATGGAATTGCCTGTCTTTATAAGTGTGGTATATGCACAGTGATTAGTGTGGATTAGCGTCTCACATGATTTAAAAAATCGAAGGTATGTCTTATTCTCAGCTTAGTTCCTGGTTGCGGCAATAGCTGACTATTGTGGAATACGACTCTTCATCTTCACCCACATTTACTTATGAAAGGTTGCCAGCTTGCATAACAATACACAAGCACAACTGAGTACACCTGAAATGAAGAGATAGAGCCATTGGGAAAGGCTCCCAAAGCAGACTCCCATCTCCACTATGTCAGACTGACTAGAAAGGAAAACAAATTTTCCTCATTTGTCTGGACAAGCCTATCTATCATGGACTTACAAGACAATGAATGGCCTTTTTTATTGCAAGTCACTTAATCAATGTTTCTAAAACAAAACTAATGAGAACAAATTCTTCTCTTTGACTTTGTCCCTTTGACTAGTGATACTAATGAAATGCTAAGCCTAGATTCTGCGTTGTGGTGTGCCTGTTTTGGATGCACTGCTAGTACAAAATTGTCTTCAGCCAACAAATAAGTCATAGGAGGTTCATTATTGGCAAAATGGACTTTTCAGTGGCATTGTTAGTATTGCAGCTTCCGTACTACCCATTGCTCCCTACTGTTGGCACAGGGGCTTTGAATGGAGCAAGTAAAAAAGAAAACAGTCAAAAAAGAGAATTAAAAATCCGCTAAGGGAAAGCTTTAAAGCCTGCTGATTCATTTGTGAAAGGCCTAGTACAGCATTCTTTTCTTTGACAGACCACATACACTGCAGTTTTTGAGAACAGTATTACTTAAATGCTAACTTCTGCTTACTTGGTCCTCCAACATAAGATCTCTCATTTGTGTGATGTATGGAAGAATTTGTTGTTAACCTGATCGATAATTATTGATTTGGTAGGACCCTTCTGCTTATTGCAATCAAATACTTTTTTATTTTTCAGTTCAAGAGCCAATGACATTGTTATGGAGAGTACTGGTAACAAACTGATGCAATATATATCAGTAATGGCTACAATTTAATAAGTAATGGTGACTAGGGGAAAATGTATGTGCTAAACATAGCTTTACAGCTCTGTTAATCAAGCATATTGTATTGGATGCATCTCTATAGGTTGGTGCAATTGTGATGCACATCAGTTAATAGTTTCTGCTGTTATTAGTCTTATTCTTATCATTAAACAACCAAATTATCTTGGGGTGAATTCTGCCTGCCCCTCTTAGAAGTGTCCATTGGATATCGTTAACTTTTCTCCCTCATTGGCTTGTGTAGATGCCAGATACATTTCTAGAGCTTGCATTCAAGGGACCACATGGACTATGCCTTCACAATCCTGCTGGGTTCATACTGGACCCCAGAAAAGGCAGGTGAGATGGTATGGAGCAATGGCAGCACCCAACAGCAGAACAGCAAGAGAGTGTGTAGCAGTGAGTTTTGAATGCCTGCAGATATTGCTGCACAATTCACTCTAGAGTGTGAAACGTTAACAGTTTAGCTCCCTCCACATTTCAACAAAAGTATTAGAATTAATCTGTATGTAACCTATGAGATTATTTGTTTTTTCAAAGCAAATCACAGTGATATTGCTAGATTTTTACTGTTCCAACTCCTTGTAATATGGCAGCAATGCCTATATTTTCTGTAAAACTGTGTAACTATAATGGTAAGCCATACAGCTGTGCACTCTTAGTCTATCACCTATAGGTAAACTTTCAGGAAACCATACCTAGGTATATGGTACCCTTAGGGGAAAGCACAACAATTATGAAATATATCTTATCCATTTCAGGTGATCTAAGACCATAGTTGCCTTCATAGTGGGAACAAGCAGCATAATGAGATGATATTGATATATTAATTTATATGGTTTTTCCCTAATCCTTATCCAATTTCTCATTTGAGTGGATGATAAACCTTTATTAATATGATCATTTATAATTATGGCAAAGATTAAATGATAATGCCATTGCCAAGTACATTATTGTCTATTCTGCATGGATTTAAACAAGTGATGTCAGCAAACCACAAACAAACTTCTTTCAGAAATTAGATGCATTGTGTACGGTAGAAGATTGACCGAAGAGTAATGGAATATGGAGCCATGTCATTTATATGACACTGATACAAAAAACAACCTGGGCTGGTAGAGCTATCTGATGGCTGTCCAGCATGATATCTGAAACAAGCAGGTGATTTCAATTAAATTCCTACAGTTTTCCATGACACACAAATACCCAATATTATCTTAGCCAGAAATCACTGACATCCATGATAGCAGTCTCAGGGGAACAGTGAACAACTAAGTAGAAATAAAGATCAAACTATATCAATCTGAAAGTTAATAGCATATGGCCACCATCACTGCAGTAACTAAATATTCATAAACATTAATGCAATTTTCCTTGCAACATTCATATGAAGCTAAGTGTAAATATTCCCATTGCACAGATTTTGAACCAAGGCCTAAAGAGATTGACTTGCACAAGGTCACTGAGTAAATCTATGGAAATTCCACTCCATCACATGAACTACAGAACCTTAATCTTACTTCTGCCAAGTGTAGCTTTAGGTACATAGATAGGGTTATAATAGAAAAGTCTGCATTGCTACATTACTTTGTGCCACACAACACCAAAATCCACTTGAAAGAGAAATAAACATAAGGAAGCACTGCAAATCAGCAAACATCATAGCTTGGTTATGGCAAGGATTTAATTATGAGAACATAATGTCTCCCATGTTTTGGAATCTATGCTGTAAAAAGTCTACTTTAAATAAATTTCATGTGTGTTACCAGGAATTTCACCTCATGCTGAAATAGTCACTATATATTTTAACACTAGAAAAATTCATAAACCATGTAAAGTTAAGGGTTTAAGACTAATGGTATTTGTGGGAGAGGTAAGTTTTTCTGTTTTCTCAACAATCAACTAAAATAGCTATAAAACTGAAGATATTACACAGATTATTCTGAATTAAGAAACGGGAATTGGGTGTATTTGTTTTCTTCTAATATTTTACTGAAGTTTCTTAAGTGTACTGCACATTTTTAAGAGAATTTACTATTTTTACTTGTATACAGGAAATAATTTCATTTTGGTCCTAATATCAGTAAAACAGTACAGGATGATAGAAAATGGCTGCCTGTGGTGAAAGAAAAATATAGCTACCAGCTTTCTACCTCTGCAAGATAATTCACTTTCACATTGACATCATCTGAGATTCTTGATTCCTTTATTGTATTCCATTTTTTCAGTAGAAAACACTTCCATACTATTTAATATGATCCTCTAAGGGTATTATTTGAATGAACGGGATTTTTACAAAAATATAGCATTCTTTATTAAAACCACATAGGTTACACAGTCCTGTATTAATGGTTTCACATTCTTTAGCAATTAGCATACACTTGTGTTTTGGATTACTACTGGGAAATAAAATACCATTCTTGTTATCAAGAAAGAAACCCTTAATTTTGATGTGGATCCAGCAGGATAACATGAAAATAACTTACTTTTTGTAACGACTCCTTCAAGGCGAATAATATTTGGGTGGTCAAATTGTCCCATGATACTGGCCTCCCTCAGGAAATCTCTTCTCTGCCTGTCCACATAACCACCTTTCAAAGTTTTAATGGCAACAGGAATCTCCCTTTTTCCTGGTGTCTTCAGGCGCCCACTGCATACTTCTCCAAATTCACCTGCAAAGAACAAGAGCAAACAGTCTGTTATGAAATCATTTTTATTTTCTAGAGAACTGTAATTTTTATATTTCTAGAGAATCCATACTGCCCCTGCTCTTTAACTTAAATGCTCATCAAGCTTTTTTCTTTGTGACACAAGCAATTTTGAAAAAAATTACAAATATGGCTTTCATAATAGTCTACTATAATCAGTGGAAAGAGAACACTGATGTATCTCAAAAATATATATAGCTCTTGAATTATAGTGTAGCTTTGTCATTGTGAAATAATGGATGAGAGAGTGAAATTCATGAATTATCAAAAGCTAGTATGCACAGAATACCTATCACAATTTCCGAAGAAGTATAGTCACTTGAAATATATATCAATACTAATCAATAAGTATAGGAGCAGGACTTTTACTCTCATCATACAACCTGCATAATGTAGCTGGTGTTTACTGATTTATGAAGACACTGAACTTAGGTTATGCTGTGCTGCTGGGCTTGCCATGAGGAATTAGCACTAGTAATGGTTAGATTTTAATAATGTTGACAATGAAAAAGGGACAGTGTGCAGCAAGGCCTTGGAATACTGCACACAGTAGAATTAATAAAAAGATGTAAAAAAAATTCACTAAAAGTCAAGCTATGAGAATGTAAGGGTTGCATAATTAAACATTCAGTAATTCTGAAACTGCAAAGGTAAGACTGCGCCTCTTAACTTTACTCCAGCAAACATATACAATGCAATACAAACTTTAATTTCAGGATCACATACAGTTTTCAAAGTAACATGTGTAATCCTGTAATATGTTTTCCATTATTTTTCTTTTTACCCTAATTTCATTCTCACAAGAGTCATTTAGTATTTATTTTCATAATTCTGTCATCACTTAGGTACTGCATAATCTTTTTTCAGTTATCAGCACTGTGTTCATTAAGTGCACTTTACTGAATGTTAACTACGTAGCTAACTGTGATCCAAATATATGAGGACTATACTCACCAGCAAACTATCACTATTTCTCTTTATTGTACTTAGCCTATAACATGCTGTTTTCATACCGTTTGCTATGCATTTTTAGGTCATTTTCATGAAATCTGGTATAAAATTACCTGAAAGAGAACTACACAGTTCTAAAAATGGTTCACTTATATAGTCCTTGAGAAAAAAATTAATAATAATATATTATGTAAGAGAAGCCTTCTGTTTTTGTGTAGAATGGACTATGAAGCATATTTGCATAAAGGCAATTTTGCCATTAATTTCAGTTTTTCTGTACAAGGTTCAGCTCAGCTAAACTCCCTTGATTTTTTCTACTTTCTGACCTCTAAAAAGAGTTCTCCATCATAATCAATTCCATCTTGCAATCATTGTAGATTCTCTGCTTTCTCTTGATATGCTCTTATTGAAAACACTTGTTCATACAAACAAGTCTATAGCCCTTTCCTACCAGTTTTCCTCTCTAACTTGCAATGCAATGCAAGTTACAGAG